CCGAAATCGAGCAGTTCAAGAAGCCGAGGAATTGATAAAAGAATTACAAAGACATAAAGCAAAACTAAATGACCCTAATGCTACTCCCGAAGAAAAAGACTTAGCCAAGAGAATGATACCAATTATTGAAAATCAAATAAGTGAAAAAGACAAAAAAATTAGCGATATAGACCGGAAAATAGAAGATTTATTAAAAACTATTCCCGGAACAGATAACAAAAACAAAGGAGGATTAATTAACTTGGGAAATATGGATTCACAAACTAAACTAATTGTTGGAGCCATTATCTTTTTAATAATTTACTTTGCTTTTATAAAGGAGAAAGATAATTAAAGTAAAGGTTTTAAATATTCAGTTGCAGCAGGGTTTTTTATAAAATTAGTAATATAGTATAAAAAAACTACTTGCTTATGAACATGGACAAAAAGAAAGAAATAGAAGGACCTTTTCATGGGGGCGGAGGTAGGTTTCCTGATTATCTAAATAAGTGTGGTTCTTGCGGAGAAGAAATAAAAGGGGGCAAAGAATACAGAAGAACTTGGAATGAAGAACTTTATCGGGAAACTGGTGGCAGAGAAGGACGAACTTATTATTGCGTTCCATGTGGAGAGAGGATTATCGCTGTTGAAAGTAAAGAAGCAAATGAAAAACACAAAAAAAATCAAGAACAGAGGATAAAAAATACTCAGGAAACTATTAAAGATTGTTATGCAATGACTAATTTATTAACTCAAAAACTATCCCAAGAAAATACTGCTGGAACTGTTGAGGATTATAAAAAAATAAAAAATGTTGAAAAAAGAATAAAAAACTTAGGCAACTTTGAAGACCCAACTATCAAAGGAGACATTGAAGACCTAAAAAAGTCTTGCCAAGATTTAATCAATGAATATATTTCGCCAAAAGATAGAAAAATAGGTGATAGTAAAGGAGGACATGCTGTTCATCCAATTTGCTGCACTCCTAGAAATATTAAATTAGAGGAAAATGATGCTGATCCTTATTATTATTGTGACTATTGTTGAGAAACTGAAAGTCCAAAGTTCTTGCAATCTTTAAAGAGTTATCGCTTGATAAATTAAATAAAAAAATGGTGGATAATGGCATTTCCTCTTCGGAGTTGAATAGTTCAAATTATCAGAGTATGTTGACAGTGCCTGACATGTTTTTGACTCAAGAAGGAATTAAAGAGACTTATCAAAAAGTTGAAAAAGACTTACAAGAATTGTTAAAGAAAAAGGGTATTAACGTTCCTAAATCAGTAAATAATAACTCCAACAATAGAGAGAGAGAGAGAGAACAAAAACATTATGAAATTACAATCAGATATCTCTAATTTAGAAAATAAACCTAATAAAACTAAAGAAGAACAAACTGAATTAGAAAATAAGAAGAAAGAATTAGAAGAGTTATTAAAAGGTAATTCTAATGATAATACTGCTCCAAAAGATAAAACTGGTATTTATATTGGGTGTGGAGTAATTGGAGTAATTTTAGTCTTTGGCATCCTTATAATTGCGAGAATTCGCAAGAAAAACAAAAAGCATTAAAAAAATATGGTAAACTGAAAGGACATAGACAAAAATTTTACAGAAGAATTACAAAAAGAATGAGAGGATAAAGGACTTAATTATGTTGAGTGTAAAGACTGAATAGATATTGGCTTAACTATTAATGATGCTGAATATGCTTATTGATTAGCAAATGTTAAAAAAGTGGATGGTGATTGAGTTCATAATTATGGTAATGATGAAAAATTGAGGAAAGAATATCAAGAATACTCAATTTCACGATGACGCAGTAAGAAATTCACTGATGAGGAAATAGAGGCTTGAAAAAATGTTGGTCTCAGACCACAAGATGGTGGTTATGCGGCTTGAATGCGAGATATTACTAAGATAACTCCTGAGGAATACCTTGATTGTTTAGAAGGAGGTGATGATAGGCTGCTTAGAGAACAGCATCAGGAATTTTTGGAGGAAGCAAAGGCAAAGAAAGGAGAAGTTAGTAAAAATTGAAAGAACATTCATCCCGATTTTACCAAAGAATTACAAAAAGAATGAGAACAACAAGGATTTAGTTATGAAGAAGTTGAGAAGTGAATAAACATTGCTGGATTGCAACCTACAGAAACGGAGTTTGCCCAGTGATTAAAAGAGGGAAGACAAATTGATCCAGAGTGGATACTAAACTATAAGGAAAGTGGTGAAAAATTTGAAGATTTAAGGGTAGATTGGGTTTGGGTGATTAAATTTTCAATGGTTTTTATTTTTGTTTGTAATTCTTTATTCATAGTTTTTT